CCCTTTTACTTTACAATCACGCACTCTTCTTTGCCTACACTGGAAAAATCTAAATCTAGATAAGTCATTTTTTCTTACAATAATTGCATTTGTACTTGGATTGAAGAGGTAAAATAGACATTTTGCCAATGGGACAAGACAATTTACACTAAAAATGAGAGAAAAAAAACAATTGCATTGTCTAATCAGTGCATATTATCTTATTATATGAGTAAAAATACTCATTCCATTGGCAAACTATCTCATTTACCTACTCGGACTAAGGGTAAATACACTTAATTTAAGAAAATTTTACTTATTTCTAGATTGTTTTTTCAGTGTGTCACAGACAATCCAAATAAAATATAACACATGTGGCTTTAATGGCATAAAGTTAAAGCAGCTTTTGAGAGGCTGCCTGTGTAACGGCAACATTTATCAGGGGAAGTGTGCCCTCAGCAGGAAACCAAACAACTTTTAGCTACTTCCGCACCTGTTTTATTCTGAGCTCCTTGTGAGTTCATTATCACATTCAAAGAGCCTACAGATTATGCACAGGTATTCCAAATAAGCATGTGCTTCACAAAAACGGACAACCTCACTGCCGTTAAGGTTTAAAGGCAGTGAATCCAGCTGTTATAACAGAGTTTTTGGTGTCGGAGTTTCCTCCTTTCATTTAGTAAATAAACAAGCGGCTGTAATAATGGTGCTCGGCCTTTATGGGCACGGATCTCTGCGTGTAACTGCATCACAAATCCTGCAGCGATTACTCAAAAGGGTGTGTCCCCTAAATTGTAGGCTAACATTAAGCCAACAATGACTATGTTGGGAGTATTATAGTGAAACTACCTGCAGAAACACTGCTCTGCAGATTGAGTTCAGAGGAAATGAAGACAAGTGAGTTAGAGAAACCACGCCTGTAAAACCACAGACAGTTCAGGTTTAGCCTGTAATCGTGGGAGGAGTGCAGCTATTTAGCTACTCTGGAGCTGTTTTACTTTTTTTCCTGAGGTTGACTAATAACTTGGAAGCAGTCATTGTGAAACGGCGGAAAACATGTGCTCTTGGCTTAGCATTTAGAGGTCATTCTCTTTTAATTTTTGTGCAGAAGACGAGACCCGATTGGAGACTTGTAGCACCAAAATCCAATTCATTTTAGTTTCAAAAGATACTTTATAAACCCCAAAAAAGGAAATGAAATGGGAATCAGTTATGGTTAATACTAAAGACACCCAGGTGGAGCTGTAGAAATCCCACTGACCTATTGTCATAGGAACAACCCCAACAAACATGCAGATTTGCTGCAGGGACAAATTAGTCACAAATTCGCACACAAACAAGTTAAGTAAGAGTTTAAGCCCTCAGTTTGTGAATTATGAAATCACTAAATCATGTCCCTATTTCATTGCCAAGATGCTTACAGAAGTTTTTCTTTCTTGTTTTTGTTGCAGCAGCAAAAGTTTTCAGGATTGACCACCGCTATCAATAATAAGAAAAATAAAGGTCATTACAAGAAGCTCCTCATTACTGAGCTTCCAACTATGACCTAAAAGCCTCTCCTCACTTTTTCTCTCAGGAAATGTATGGAATTCCAGCTGAGCATAGAGGGAGCCGGCAGAAGGTCTTATCTTTACAGAGGGGAGGTCATTAAAACCTGCTCAGTGTTTTTTTTTTTGCTGAGGTTTTAAACACAGTTACCCAGTAGGATACGATGATCATATGGTTGTAATGAATTGGTGGAAACCCAGGTGGTTAATTTAAAAGATTTTTTTAATACAAGCTCAACTTGAACTCAATTATTTTCCTTTTTTTTTTTTTTTTTTTTTTTGCATTTTTCCAAAGGAAGTCTTAAATCTCTGCTTCTTTAGAAGTCACCTCTGTCACCTGACCTGCCTGACAGAAATCTCTGTGGTACTAAAGCAAACATCCTGAAGCCTTAACAGCGAATTGCCTAAGCAGCAGATTACACAGACAACAAATCCAATCACTCTGAAAACTCCTCTCTGAATAGGATGCATGAAATGAACGTTTATGTGCAAGTGCCTCCACGTTTTTGCATGCATTACATTTCTATTATTTTGCATGCAATCCAAAAAAGAAGTTAGAGCTTAACCAGTTCTGTCTGACTTTATTTAAAACAGTTATTCTGTCTGTAACAATCTTATTATTCCCTTGAATATTACAGAATTGTTGCCTTACAAGTTGATATGAACTCATTTACCCAGCTCTCTGCTCAGACAGAACAGAGGACAGTTGGCTGCTTTGCATTAGGCTACTCACTTTTAAAGCGAATGAAAAGTTACACCAATTTTACTCTGATTCACTGACTTGGGTTTTAATGACTAGAAATATTTCCTAAACACACTGATTTGTCATTATTGCAAGCAGGGAAGTACCAGCAACAGGAAGGGGAGGGGCAGTGCTGCATTATCTTATGTTTCATACAACTGGAGTAAACTCCAGCCGCCCGGTTTCTTACTCTGGTATCTCACTTACAGGAGTTTAAATCCTAGCAATGGTGTTAGAAAAACTGAAGTTGTTTTGATTCAGTTCAATTTACTTATATAGTGTCAATTCACAACACATCACATCTCAAGGCGCTTTACAGAGACAATTTAAGCACGTTATACAGTCAAACTGATTAAGTTTTCTATCTAAGGAAAAATGGCTGATTGCATCAGCTCATTGACTCAAAGACAATCCCTCATGCCAAGCACGCTTGTAGCGATGGTGGAGAGGAAAACTCTATTTGAACTGGAGGAAACCTGCAGCAGAACCAGAACCAACGATCTGCTGATGATGTAATCATCCTTTAAAAAACTGGCATGCTTTAAATCATAGCAACTCTTTCTAAGAGCAGGAAAATGAAAATATTAAAAACATATTGTATTTAGTCAAAGTTTATATTATTTTGTCATGCAAAATATTCAAATTCATTAAATAGAGCATATTTAAACAGAACAAATAACCTTTAGCCTAACTAAAATGACTCTTGACCACTTTTAGGCATGTCCTAGTTACCAAGATCAGTTTTAAAAGTATTCCCTTTTAATTTTATGTAGCTCCTAAGGTTCAGTCTCCTTACCAGAGTGACTCAGATTTCATTCCATCTATCGGAGAAATGCAGAGCTCTGAAAAACTGCTAGCTGTGCACTCCACAAATCTGGCTTCCGTGAGAGTAACCAGATCAAAGTAAAACAAACTGTTTGCACTGAAGCATAAGCCTAATCGTAATCACAGCAGCATCATGCTGTGGGGATGCTAAATAAGTACAGAGATTTTAGAAAAAGCAGTTTTTATTGTTTTAATAAAGCATAGGGTGACTGTGGCTCAGTTTTTAAAAAAGAAACATTGTGGGGTACAACTCGTATTTTTTGGTGCTCCTGAGCAAAACCCCAAGTTGCCCAACAATCTGCATATTTATAGCATAAAAGTAGACATTGCTTTCCTCAACTTCACTCCATTTATCATCTAGATCAATACAGTAAAGACCCTCCCCCACGTGTTGCTGTGCATTGTTTGCAAGCTGGTCCAAAGATGGTTGCTGCTATAGTTACAAGACAGATTTTACAATTAAAAAAGTAATATGAGACAGAGATCCACCCATCAGTCTATTTAGTTAACCGTCTTTGAAATGATTTACATGCAGACAGATCTATTAAATATCTAAAAGCTGTGTATCTACTTCTAAAGGATGCATAATTTAGTGTTCAGTTTTCATGTTAAGTCCATACAATATAAAGAAACTAAATTAAACTTATACATTAGCATTATCTATGACATTTTAGCAGCAGTAAAAAAAAAGTTGATTTTGTCTTTTATACTTTAAGACAGTGGTGCTGTGGTACGTTTACCAAAAATGCTCATATTGTGAAACCAGTTCACTCCAAAAATGAGGTTTGCATGACAAACTAAAGTGCTACAGATTTGCTTTGTTAAGTCACGTTTCAAGTAGAAGGAAACTCAGGAAGTCGCAGCTGACAGATTAGCACCAGCATAAAACATTCGAGAAGAATTCAACCTTCAGCACAGCTTGTCCAACTTTTCATGCAAACAAATACATGAGCTTCTCTGGTGTTCTGGAAAAACAACAAAAAACAGCAACTGGACTTCCTGTTTTTCACATTCTCACTGCTGAATGGGCTTACAGCTGAGCCCAGCGTTGTATCTCTGCATGGATGTTTATTCACAGACTTCATCAAACAGGACTCAAAAACTATTTCTCATTTTCTGTAAGATTACATGTAAATCCCACATATTTAGACATAACATGAGCTTAGAAAGGGCTGACCACAATTCACTCCTTTTCTAAGCTAGTTGATGACATTTTCTGGCATTTTCAGTTCAATAGCTATGACCAATAAACTGTTTTTTTTTTGCTTGTTTTTTTACGCAACATATAAAAGATAAAATGGACAAAGGTTTTAAGTTAAATCACAAAAATTATTGTGAAAGAAAATGAGACACGTGTAGAATTTTTTGAGGGCTAAAATTGAGATAAAAAAAACAAAAAAGCTATTTTTTCCTTTCTGTTTGGAGTTTTAAGACAATTTAATAAGATCGTGGTCAAAGTGCGACAGAGATTTCTCTGACTGAAGGCAGCATTTACTAACTGCTGCCCATACAACCATGTGTGGCTGAGCACTGCAGGTCAGCTGCCTGAAATTAAGCTGCTACGCTTTTCCCCTCAGCTACCAAGACTATCAAATCTGAATATTTGGAAATGTATATGCAGGTAAAAAACACAATCCAAATGCATCATCTTGAGAAGACATTCATAAACTTTGGAACACAGTAGGCTTAAGATGAATGACTCTAGGACAGTTTTCAGCTGACTATTAGAAGCCAATCGTGGTCAAACAGGAAGTCTTCAGAGAGCAGTGGATAGCGTACAAACTACGCTTCCAACCAGTTTACCTAAACATGCAGACAACCTTCACATGGAACTAATTTAAAAAGGAAAAGCTGCAGGCTCTATATGGTAATGAACCAAGCCTTGAAGGAACAAAACAGAGACATAAAAGATTTAAAATCACTTTTTTAATAAGACATTACAATGACATTGTTCTGTACATAGTTCCCCCAGTCGATAAGGAATAGGAGCTGCACCTCAGGCTGCCGTTCCAACACCTCACTCCTTAACAGCTCTCTGCCCTGACTGAACCAACAGATGGAGTCGGATGTAGGGTTAATGTACTTATGTAGTCATGCTACAGATAAAAGCTATCATATAATGTCCCAATACTGAGACTAATCAGCTGTGGTGTCAGATTTGAGAGGTCAGAGCTGATGTTACTGATGGCCTGCTTGTTTAATACTCTGCACATTATAGTGAGACATGAAATGGGTCAATCAGTTCCCTAGAAAAGCCCATGTAAGAGTAAGAAAAATGTGTTGTTCTAACCTGACAGACCAGGTAAAACATGGGCTTTGTTTTGTTGTTTCTTGCATTTACCCCAGTTTTTTAATACCAGAGAAGGAAAACTATGAATCACAGTACTGTGTCCTTCAAGTAGGCTACATGACAAATAAAGAATCGAATGTCAAAGTTCAACCCAAAAGAGTCAAAAGGACTTTTAAACAGGTTAAGTCCAAGAATGTCCTTAGGAAAGATATAAAATAGAAAACAAAAGAACAGGCAAAGGTGGTGATCTCTGTGGCTTTGACCTTAGAAACCAGCTAACTCCACTTTTTTGTCTTCTGAAACAAGCCCAAGCAATAAAGAATGTGATATATGCCTCCTGAAGAACACAAGCAAACTTTAAGCCGGCAAACCCAGTTAAAGATAAATTAGTCAAAAGATAAACGTAATAAAAATAAATTGAGATAATCAACTTTTCTTAAGCATTCTCATTTTGAAGAATAATTTGTTACTTGCAACATTGCAGTTTTGACCTAAAACAGTCAGCAATCAATCATTAAGACTTGTAATTTGAAGTTAGCCACGTCAGACCCTCGTATAGTCCATCACCTGTGGTTGCGCAGGAGGGCTGAACATACCAATTCCTATCTCTGATCCGGGTCAATCCCAGCTTCTCTTGGATTTCGTGCGGCTTCATGGCATCCGGAAGGTCTTGCTTATTGGCGAATATCAAAATCATGGCATCTCTCATCTCTCGGTCATTGATGATGCGGTGAAGCTCCTGTCTCGCTTCGTCGATGCGATCCCTGTCCGCGCAATCCACCACAAAAATCAAGCCCTGGGTCCCCGTGTAGTAGTGCCGCCACAGGGGACGGATCTTATCCTGACCTCCTACGTCCCAGACGTTGAACTTGACGTTTTTGTAAGTGACCGTCTCCACGTTGAAGCCCACTGTTGGGATCGTTGTCACCGACTGTCCAAGTTTAAGTTTGTAAAGGATTGTTGTCTTTCCAGCAGCATCAAGTCCAAGCATTAATATTCTCATCTCCTTGTTGCCAAAGATTTTTGAGAGCATTTTCCCCATTTTGAACTCTTGAGCATAAATACTTCCTAAGGATAAAATATGATGTATGGATGGTTACTTTGAACGCAGCTTACAGTTTAGCACAGGTGGAACCATAAAGTGAAAGGAATTTTTTTTAAGCAGAAAAAGTCAAAAATAAAGACACATCCTTAAATCTTCACCTAAAAGTCTGTCTAGAAATGATTAACGGCATTTATGCTCAGATAATGATATCTTCTTGGCCTACACACAGCATGACACCATAGGACTAACAAGTTGGCAGCAGCTGTTGAGGGAGGTTCATTGTTCAGTATAAAAAAATGAACATAAACATATGGGCTGAATAAAGGCCGCGGTGACTGGGAACTGCATAGAAGATTCACTTTGTAGTTAAATGGGACCGCCGACAAAAGCCGCGATACTTGAAGAGAATTTCCTCCGGTGTTGGGATGTGGCGCTCCTCCTCACCGGCTGCGCCCTTGTTCTTTCCACCGCTGACAGCGGCTCTACGTCGGCTCACACCGGGGGAAACCTCACCACGATGCATACAATTAGCCCTGCTAGTCCATGGGCAGAAATATTCCGCTCACCAAACTCTGGTCACACTGAAAAGAGATTTAGGGGGAGGGTCAATATGTGGAAAAAAAATTAGCCAGCTACTGCTAGATTGGCTGTTAAGATAGCTAGTTAGCTCGCGTGCTAAACTGAGCTAAGTAGCTAATGTGGCTATCTGCAGTGGGCTAATGGAATTAGCTAACAAATGTATACTACGATGACTATATGGCAAGCCGCACGTTTTAGGAGAGAATGAGTATGGTTATATTTAATTTCCTTACCCCCAGAGTCGATATATTGTGTGAGGTGTTGTCTTCCTCCTTTAGCTGGAGCTACCCGCACTGCTGCTGCTGCTGCTACAACGGAAAGGTGTGGAACTGAATCAGGGGCCACTTCCTACTGTCTGCTCCATTCAGATGATACCCGCCGAGTCCGCCTCCGAGTCTGACGCTGACAGACTGCCCTATCACACTATAAATATATGTGGAGAAAATCATATTCTAGTAATAATATCATTTATATCATACAAGGAATATTTCTATTGGTTCACAACCAAAATTTACTATCTATCCAGTAATTACTTGGATTTAGTGTATTATTTTACTATTGCCTTCCATAGTTTATTATAATCAATGCAATATTTTTTATTTGTTTTATTTTAATTTGGCATGGACTGTCTAAGAAAACAAGAAAAGTGTAAAAAAAAATTTTGATTGTATAGTCGCCTCTTAAATACAGATATGTTTTGATTTCAAAATTGGAAAAAAATGCATAAATATTGTCAGCGCTAATTATATGAAGAGTAACGACTCCACCTAGTGGCCAATGTGTTTATTGTCCCTTGTCAAAAAGTGGGGCAATATACCCCTGAATGTTGATAAAGTTCCTTCCTTAATGTTTTTGTAACTTGGAAAAAAAAACAAAACATTAAGTTTTCCCCTTAATTGACCTAAAGGTTTACTAAAATGGCAAGAAAGCAATTGTGAATATTTCCAATATCAATTTCTTTCTTCATTCTCTGTCCTCTCCAGTATCACGATATTGCCTCTGCTATTTATGGATTTTAGCACAAACATTTATGTCAGCTTTTTTAATAAGGAATCCTCCAGTTGTCCAAATATATTATCAGCCTGCAGACCAGAACTGCATTTCTTACACATAGACACATGGGACCACATGACACATGTCAGGTGTAAATGCTGTGTGTTGTAATGTACACATTCTAAATGGGAATAACAAAAAAATAAATAAAGATCTTGAAAATGATAATGACTCAAGCTTTTACAGTATTTCTAAGTGAGATAATTTAATAGCTGTTTTCTAATTATCACGCAAGGATCAAGTTCAATTTAAGTTACCAGTTGCAGCATGTGAGTAAAATTACTGATAGCTGCTGTCTTCTACTTCAAGGTCACAGTAAATGTTTATACCTTCATCCTCAAATTTGTGAATGGTTTATAATAGCTGCTTATAATCAAAAACGAAAAAGAAAAAAAACTGTTTCTGTGTTTTTTATTGTTTTTATTTTATTCCAAAATTCTGGCAAATGATCTATTTAATTTTTTGCTTGCCTATATAAAATTGTATTAGCAAATAACAATTACAAATGCCAGCAAGAATAACTAAACTATTTTATCAACTCATCTGTAATTAAATCATCCATGTCTTTAAATTTGCACAGCTAATAAATTCGATCTACGACAGCAAACAAATGGCTCAGCACCTCTCTCAATGAAAATAGAACACAAAGTAAGTTGTAGAACTTGGAGAAACTTTTATTGGGTCCCACCTGGTATGAAAAAATAAAGAGCTTGGACAATAGTTTAGCGTATTAAGGCAGCAACAAAGACAAGGTTGCAGACTCCTCATCTAACAGAAGTAACAGTCATTAATCCTATCTTAACATGGCTGAATCTTTCATTTAAAGTACATTTTAAAGGCAAAATATTAAATTAGTCCAAGGGAAGTTTTGGTCTCTTCTGTCAGCGCATGTCATAAAAAAAAAAATATTTGGAATTACACTGTAAAAGCTGATATAAAAGAATTAAATATTTAAAAAATGTGTCTATTTAGCTATAATCTGAGCAGGTAAATATGAAGATCTGCCCATCAAATTCTTATTTTGGCTCTCGAAACGAAATAATTAGATTTCATACACATGAAATAATAAATTGGAGTTTTTTATTTTATTTTAAACATAAATCATCTTATTACTTCACATTTCTTACACTCATCTGATAAATGGCTTCCTTGCTTGTGCCCAAGAGAGAAAACTTCTTGCAGCCATCTTTTCTATTAACTCTAACGGTGTTTTTGTACAGAGTCTAAAAAGCTGTAAATTCTCTAAATTAATTATTTTCAGATGTCACAGTGCCTTGAAAAGCATTTGCCCTCTCACAGATTTCTTTTTTTCAAATGTTTTTCTCTGTTTACAGACATAAATGTTAAAGGTTATCAAACCAAGTTGTATATATATAAAGAAGGAACACAGCTCCTAGAGAGAGGACAGACTTTCCTCTCTTCTAAAGTTCCCTCCTAAGGGAGTATAGGAAGAGGACTGCCTGTTATCTTGGCCTATTGCTTCACAGCAGAGTGCGAAGTCGTGCGAATGAAGATCTAAGATCTCTTTTGTTACATTTATATCAAACCAAATGTGTTCTTTAATTGGACGGACTCTCTTACTCGTTGCATACCCTCCCCCCTCTCTTCTTTTGTTTAGCCATCCCCTGCATTGGACCATCAGTGTTGTCAATAATTAACACCTCCCTTAAACAAGGTCAATTCCTGTCATATTTTAAAATGTCAGAGGTCATTTCTCTACTAGAGAAACCTAATCTTCATCATGACTCAATTTACAACTTCCACCCTGTGCTCCTCAGCTGGCTTTTATTAGTAAATAAATATTGTTGAAATCCTGGTTCGTTAAGTTACAGCTTTCTGCTTTACTAATAAAATAAGGATCTGCAGAGGAATTGGAAATGTTCAGTGTTGGTCTTTCTAAATCTCTGTTTTTGACACTGTTGACCACTCAGTCCTGTTAAACAGGCTCTAAGCTCTGGCTGGCATCTCTGGACTCTCATTTGACTGACAGGACATGGTGCATCAGGACAAACAGGTTCTCTCAGGCTGCTTCTCTGACTTCTGGGGATCCAAAAAGGTCACTTCAACACTCTTTAACATTCTCCTTTTATATTATTTCATTAGCTTGCATTATTTAGCCTTCTTCCTGATAAGATTCCTAATAATATATACATCATTAATACCTCAACAGCTTATAGGGTGTCCATCCTGCTACAATGTCAATCTTGTGTCAGATACTTTCTCCCCAAAGAGTTCTAATTTTAATACAGACAAGTCTTTGATAACTGCTCCCAACCGTCTGCATGCAAAACTCCACCACATTTGCTTCTCTCTGCCTAGCAGCCAAATCCACATCACTTCATTAAGTTTTGACTTGCATATTTCCCCTATTTTCATTTCCTTTTGTTAAAGAAGCATCTCTAAAAATGTGCTATGGTCTTTAGTGCAGATCTAGAAAACATTAAACAAGTATTTGTTTCCTCCTGCAAAGATTGCCCTTCCTGTAGGTCTAGACAGATCTTCTCATCGATGCTCTGAGGTGTTACATTTCCTATACTGGTTGAATATGCATAAAATAATGTTAATGACATATTTGAATTTATTGCCTGTCCAAATACTCTTAACTTGCTGCCTCAAATAAAATCCACCTTATCAGCTTTTTTATGACAAGGCCAATAAATGGTAACTGATTGTGCACCATAAAACATTTAGGAATGCTATATGTAAACTGATGAAGGTCCAAATATATAAAAACATTTTTTTCCACATTTGCCTTTATACGATAAAGTCACAAAGTTTAAATTCTTTGGTCCATTGAAAAGAAACACAGAACAGGGTTTGGGTAATTCTAAAACAAAAAAGCATGGGGACTTTTAAGGATTATATATGATCATATTAAGAAATTAAACAGAATTCAATAGAATGTTAGAAAAATATGGATATTCTGTACAGTAATTAACCTTTTTTGATCACGGCTGCACTTTATGAAATGGAAATGTTCATTTCACTGCTAAGCTACTACTCATTCACTGTCTGAAAAGTGTGAAACAAAAAAGAAACATGAAAATTTTGTTTTGTATACACTCTGTGTAAGAAAAATTACAATAAAAATTGTCCAAGTCTTTTACTTGCAAGATGATTTGTATTGAAAAATCCTCATTTGAGTCAAAAACCTCTGCAGGCAAGACCTTTTTAGGTGCCAGTGGCCCCCAAGGGCAGTTTTGGAGACATTATACAAGCTTTTAATCCGTACCAGCTGGTTTCCTAGATTTATCTCTTATTTTATATTTTCATATAGTAATAAAAGTGTAAAAATAAACTTTTTTTCTACTACAATAATTTGGATGATAACAGCTCTGTAAGAGACGCGCCCAGAGGCGTAGCCAGAAAATTTTGGGTGGCCAAAATTGGATAGGTGCCAGAACTTCAGGGTCCATCTACCCTGTTCCAACAGGAACAACATCCATATTTTCAAAATAAAGACAAACTATACTTTCCTACAGCCTTTTGATTACAAATAGATGCATATATTTAAACATCCATGCTGTCTAAATAAAAGGTATAGTGGATAAAATGTCTGGGGAAAACATATTTTCCATGGTCATTACTTACCCATTGTTATCAAAAATTGTTCTGCATAACATTAATATGACATGTACTAATATCTACATTAGATAGATTTTTAAGTTATTATTAAAGTAGGTATTTATCTATGATTTCACTGAATTTTTTTCTTTACCCCATATAACACACAATTAGGGTCTTAAAAGAGCATGAATTCTGTATATATTAATGTATATATATAATGTTAGGATTTTGATGTGCATAATTAACCACAGCTTTTTAGTTGTCAAGTAACTATTAATATATGAAAAATTAAGACGTTTAATAAGTTTAAACATTCCTCTTGATCAAGGGTGTAACTCTGTGATGAAAGTTGGTGAGGACGCTCTAAGGGTGTTGGCTGATGCAGCTACAGCTACTCAACCCGAGCGCTTTCAATAGGCTTTATATTTTCCAAAAATTAGCTCAAACATATATTTATTGAAGGTTTTACTATTGTTGAGAACACAAGAGTACAATTCACTAATATTTATAGTTATACAAAGATGAAAAAATGACAAATAACAGCCGACACCGATGCCAACAGCAATATATCATGCATCCCTAGAATGGACACAACTTCAATTCCATCCATCCATCCATGCCTGGCTTCCCTTTAAGCTGCATCAGTGATTATCCTCCTTCACAAGCAGCAAAATCAAATTTAGAAATTTGTCCCATATGTCGTTGACAGCCAAAGTCTATGTATTGAATCTTATATTTAAAAAATCATTTATACACCGTGCTTTGTGCTTCAATTCTTGCAGGTTTCTTATATTTTAAATTTAAGTCTGTGTCCTGTGAGTCTGGCTCTCTCTGGGTTGGCAGGCACAGCTATTTCTGAGTCTTGCTGAACTACAAAAGACAAAAATATATGTTTTTAAATTTTATTAAAGCATTGCATATTTTTTCTTGTAAACATGGGGATATATATTTTATTGCATGTTGCATATCCCAGTAAATCTGTTTCACCTTTAAATCAGCAGCTGTCCCTAATTGTGTCTCTGCTCTGCTTAAAAACAGATTTATGAACCTGTCTACCAATACAATGATTCCAGAGAAAATAATTTTCAGGATTTAGGAGCTCAGCAGTCTGATTCTCTGTTTAATAAGAAAACAACAGATATGTGTTAATTTTAATCTGTAACTCTGAGTAATGGTCCTTTTGAGAAGCCCAGCTTTTTTAAACTTATATAAATGTACAATCTGTTGCCATTTTTAGCTGAAAAAGCTCCGTTTGTGTAATGGTGGCATAACCAACCTGTCTCCTAACTATTACTGAAACATATATAGAAGTAGCTGCCAGTTAAAATTCACTGAGTGCTTCTGTGTCTGTCCTCCTCCTTGTAGCGACTCTGTACGCAGTAAATGTCGACCCCAAATAATATTATGTCTGACGATATAACACCAAGAGGTGGGACTAAAGAGCAGCGGAAGAGCAAGGAAAAAACACGGATTGAAAATGCTCTGAACACAGACGGCTGCATCCAACCAGTTACTGTTGGCTGAAGGAAATCAGTGGAAAGGGGGGAAAAGCAGAAATGATTGGTGGGGACAACTCCACACCGGATTTTAGCAAAAATAAAATCCTAATTTTGTTTTAAGGACTTTGAAGGACTTATCCATGCTTTCATTACACCCCGGTTGGATTACTGCAATTCATTATATAGAGGCCTGGATAAATCACAGATGCAGCGACTTCAATTGATCCAGAAGGCAGCGGCTCGGCTTCTTACTGGAACCTGGAAGCGTGACCATATAAAGCTTATACTGGCCCCTTTACATTGGCTGCCTGTCTTTTAACGAAAAGATTTTAAGATTCTCTTATTAACTTATAAAGTCTTAAATGGATTAGCTCCTTCTTATCTTAGAGACCTTTTAAAACTCGACTTAAGAGGAAAGGAGATCGGGCCTTCTCTGTTGTTGCTCCTATTCTGTGGAACCAACTACCTCTTCAAATTAAAATTAGCCCACAGCCTGGATCATTTTAAATCGCTGCTTAAAACTTATTTTTATTCTTCGGCTTTTAATTGAAGCAGTGTTTCACATTCTGTTTTGTTAATTTGATGTTGTTGTCTTTCCTGTAAAGCACTTTGGTGCAGTTTTATACCTGTTTTTAAAGTGCTATATAAATAAATTTGACATTGACACACCAGTCCTTCAGAAAGTTACACCAGTGTTCTTGATAGTATTAATGCTGCCATCGTCTGTATTAGATGGCGAAAAGAAAATGGTAAGGGTGGCCATGGCCACCTCTGGCCCCCCCATCTAGCTCCGCCCCTGGACGCGCCCACATCTGTTTCATCAGAGCGGGTCACTTTAATTACGTTGCAAATTATGGTATAAGTGGAAGAAAAAATAATGCAAATGTAAACATCATTAAAATAATCGTTCCGCCCCCCGTGTTTCTGCATCACATGACCGCGATGGAGTCAGCGGCTGTGGGGCAGCAGGCGCTACTTGGAGACCCGCACATCACCTCCGACAGGCGCATTTAAAGGAACAGCGTTAATGCAAAGAATCATGGCGGAACTCGGCAGACCGAACACGCTCGGCCGGGCTCTGTCTTATCCAACCTTGATAGAAACCAATGATGTTTCTTCCACAAACGTCCAGCTTCACCCCTGCAGGAGGAGGAAGCTGTCCAGCTGCAGCTCGGTGGAGAACCTCGAGCGGATGACTTCACCATGCGGCAACGAGTCGCGCGTCCTGGTGATAAACACCGGGGGAACTATCGGGATGACGCTGCATGATAACGGTAGGTGATGGACCGGGCTTCACCTTCAATTTAACGGACTTTATCGCGAGAGAGTTTCCAGCTGTAGGAAATAGATTAAAACGCTGCTGAGGACATGATGCAAGGATTACAGCCTCCTTCACAACAACCGGCACGTGGATCCTTAAATAGGCACAGTTATACAGTAGCTCACGCGGCTGAACTTACATACAATTATTAAAAATAGATTCTGGAATAGTTGGACAGCTGCCATTCCCCCACCTTTATTAAAGTTTTGATTATTTATTAAATGTTAGATGATGGCATCCAGGTCTTATTCATTCCAAAAAAGTAAAAAAAATAATAATAAAAAAATAAGGACTTTGTTTCCATATTTAAAGACCTCTTCAAAATTGGAAACAAAATCAAGTGGATTTTTTCTTTCTTCATTTTTTTCATGTTTCAACTGGAAAAAACATGATTCATTCACAAATCAGTAACCATATGTTGACTTATGGTGTTGTGCAACGTTTTAAACATGTAGGGTGACATTCAAAAAGTCCCCTGCTGGTTTCAGACATCTTCTTTTCAGTTATTTTTTATTTAAAAGACTAAGTATGTCGGGCAAAGGGAATATATTTGGTTTCTTGTGACGCATATTTTAAATGTAAACTACAGACGGTTGGATTACCTGCATGGGCTTGCCTCTCAAATATGCTGCAATATTTTATAGGGGAGTGGAAAATGTCTGACAGAGATGGGCTTTAAAATGAATTGACATCCAATGCAAGTTGCATTTAAAGATTTTTTTTTTACGACTATCTTTATTTAACCATAAAGAATATTTAAAAAAGCAATAGAGTAGAGCGCAACCAGTATTGTAATCTTCTATCCAAATATTTTCCATACCTGCTCCTCTCTAACAGGGTCACAGGGTGGGGGCGTTGGTGCTTTCCCAGCTTTTTTTTTTTTTTTTTTCTGGGTTAGATATTGAATTAACCCAAGACAGATCACAACACAGAGACACGCGGTCATGGGACAAACAACCATGTACACACACACACACTCATACATTTAAGGACACACAGAGAGTCCAATGACCTCACAGTCATATTTTTGGACCTGGACTGTGAAGAGCCTGCAATGCCAATGCAGAACTTGATTCTTTATTCATTAGGGAGCGTTCTCTGAATAATGATAAAAGAAAATAAAACATCTTTAAATGTTAAAAGAATTTGTTCCTATTAAGTGTAATAAAAGAATTGGTTATACGCACACAATATATATTGGATTACTATGAGATCAGATGAAGTAAAAGCAGAGAATCCTTCTTTTTTTATCCACAAGCCTGCATGCATCAGTCTTATTGATGTGCAACTTAAAACTTAACCTCAAAATCCTGCAATAATTGGTTTCCTCAAAAGTCTAAAACTGTAGCTGTCAGCACACACACCAACCACAAAGTTTCTAAATAAGATAATAACAGCAGCTTTGCTGGTCATTCAAGACCGCACCAGTGAGATCAAGACATTACAGAGACAAGACCAAGGCATTTAGGCCATAATGAATATAAACTCTCTTTAAACTGCCATCTGCATGTTGCTGGTTTATAGGATGACAGACAACGGTATAGGATTCAGAAAATACTTTACGTTTTGACTCGGTTTTATAAATTGGACTTGGTTTTATTTAGAATGCTGCAGCAATCTGTAAACCAAAAATGTGGATTAATGCCTTGTGCATCTGTTAGGTCAATCTTTGGTGCAAATGCCCCCATAAGTACAAAAATTGGATGCAAGAAAAGAAAAGCTGAGCTGACCTTCTTAATGTGTCTGCCCGATCCCCAGAGAAGCAAAGCAGAGAAGTGACTGCTGACATGCCTTGAAGTAACTTATGAACATGCAGCTTTGCTTCGTAGTAAGTAGAGCAGATTGCGCACAGTTGAATATTTATCTGGATATTAGATTTGTCTATCGACCTAAACAGACTGATTTCTAGCAGCAAAGCAGCACATTCTCTACCACTGTGAAGTTAGCCTCAAGTTGAACTTTGGGTATTTAAGCAGCTGCATCCAGCTGATGGTTGATCCGATACAGGATCTCTAATTTCGGCCATCTATCCCTGCTGCTCCCTGTTCTTTGTGATTCACTTCAAAATCAGAGTCTCTCAGGTGGATTAACTGTGAGCTAGATGCCGCTAACTCAACAGAGCTTGAATATCAGACTTTAACCTAACTTCACCCCAGTAGAAGAGGCGCCGCTGTCAAATGGTATATGCTGCACATGAATTTAATTTATGCAGACATGGATCAATGCTGCAGAACTTCTCTCTTCTCTCTGGTTTCAATAAATGCAGTTATTTTCTTTGTACAGATCAGTTATCAGCTGATCACTCTGTTCGTGGCACAGCTCTTTAAATTTCCTTCTGGTTCCAGATCTGCCAACTCTGATAATACCTATATTTAATTACAAATATTGTTTTCTAAAGCTATCTCAGGTACCACAGTCAAAAGTGAGATCTTTGAGCTTAAATTAAGCTCCTCAGGTAGGTTCTCTGAGAAAAGTGATGAGCTTCTTCTTGCCACAGTAGGGCCACTGTTCCCTATTACAATAGTTTTTATATAGCAGGATAGACCTTCCCAAAAACCTTCCTGTTGTTCTTTAAACCTTCCCAGCTGAAACGATATATCCTTTTTTTAGGTGTTTCAAAGTTTGTTTTTTGTTATTTGTTTAAAAGGTACTTCCAAGGGGTTTTGCACATCTGTGTATTGCTAGTTGAGAAATGTAAATATTTACTTGTGATCCATAGTGTCCCACAATACAATTAAAAAGCAGTAGGGTAAATAAGATAAGAGATAAGATAGGACTTTATTGGTCTCAGAACAGAGAAATTCACTTGTGACATCACCTCTAATAAACATGGTAAGTGTACAAAGTTAGGCTAAAAAAAAAAAAAAAAAAAAATATATATATATATATATATATATATATATATATATATATATATATATATATATATATATATATATATATAAAACTCATCCTTACCAACCGAGATTAATAACCTTGTGGACAATTCATTTTTAATATTATGCCTATTTTTTATCCGAGAACTTGATGGCATATTTAGATTAAGCCTTAAATTGCACAGTTATGTGCAATAGTGGTACTCAACTATGTGTTAGGCCCTCTAAATCCTGACGACAATGCTTACTTTATTTTTTTGGAGTTCCAGGACTGAATTGTAGATTTATAAAAGCTAGAAGGGCAATCCTCCTCCTCCTCCTCTGTTCTGTGATATACTTTCCTTTACAACAAAGATGGCTTCCTTCACTCCTCTATCAAACCTCTGTGTCCAAACTCTGAGCATTTTGATCATTGAAGGTGTGTCCTTATTTTTTATTTATTTATTTATTTTTTCCTAATGGAAGAGCAAATGCACAGCTGAATCTTTCCCAGAGCTACTGGTTCTCCTCCATGCATTTGTGTAGATGTTGTTTGGTCATTACAGCACATAGACCATGCCGCTCAGGTTTGTTTTTGTTGTTCTGTCTTTGAGATGAACCAGTTTTAGTCTCAACATGTTTTTGGGTTTGAAATGGACTGGTATTGTATTTTTAATTTAAAAAATCCCACTTTGTTTTATATATTGCAGAAACCAAACATCTACACAAACACTTGGTGCAGCACAGGAGAGTCAGTAGCACTGGGAAAAACTCAGCTGTACTATTATCTCACACGTCTGATGACCTAAATGTTCAGATTTTGGACAGACAGGACAGATGGTGTAAAAGACGAGGGAAGGAAGCCACCTTTGTTTAAAGGGAAATGCAGTAATTAAACAGGGGGAGGGGAGTTGCTTTTTCAGCTTCCAAGCCTAAATAACTCTGTCCTGGAACTCCTTCAAAAGAAATTACGTAAGCCCTCTCATCATAATTCAAAAGGCCCAACTAACAGCACATACACAACAAAAGACTCCAACAACTTGGGCGGACGAGGGGTTGATCATTGAAATTTATCTGAGTTGGAATGTCCTCAGGAAGATGGACATCCAGGTGCTTAGAAACATCAGCTCTCCTTCTACAGGTTGCTCTAGTGTGAGCCATCAGAGTTTATAAAGACTGGGTGTCGAAATGATTTCAGTAAAGCTGAGTAGAAGTCTGTTTGCCTCAGATTTAGGCCTGTTTTGTGGTTACCATGACCCGGATTACTGAGAATTTGCACAGGCACCTTTAAGTATCTGTAATACCAGTATTGTTGTGTGTCTAAGTGCTGGCTGTGAACCTCGGCCGCCTGCAGTCCAACAAAACAAGCTGTTTAGTAAACGCAGTCGGGCTAATGGTAGCGACTGTCTTATCGAAAACTGAGTCTTTAGGTTTAGCAGATTTAGATCACTGAGGCCCAATTTAGCATGTTGATAAGAACTATGTAGAAATGTTTTAGAAAGTTCAAGCATCTTTTATCGCGTCTTATTTTGGATCCAAGGTTTTTTTTAAGATGCTTTAACTTTACTCTTCAAGAAGATCAAGAATATCATAGGGGTGTTTTAAACAAAGAGGCAGTTCTTGCAGGTTAACAGGTTCACGGGTTTCCTAGTCTCTGTTTTTTGTGTTTTTCCTCTTATAGATAATTGTTTTATTTTCTGATTCTTTAACACTGATTATTAGTTTAAATTTAACATCCTTTTAAGTAGTATTTTATAGTGGAGTACACTCCGTATTGGTACTCTACATGTATCCGTGTAATGTTTTTTGAACTCATCTTTGCTGTTGCACCATAATTGCATGTAGTGGGATCAGTGGCAGGGCCCTCATTGTGCAGCCAACAGTTGTGCCAGATTCAGAGAACTATTCCGAATAATTAATTGTGTCTTTCATCCAACATAATTCCTAAAGGCCCTCACTTAGCCATGAGCTACCATGGGTCCTATGATGTAGAGTCCTACGTGCTGTCTGCATTTTTCAGTCTTGGAATCCAGGCTCATATTCTTGCTGCAGCCTTAACATGCTGTTAATTCCATGTGCAAGTTGTAAGGAGTTGCTGTCTCCATCCATTAGGTGGAATACCAAAGGGACCCGCAGCCCCCTTAGGGCTCTTTAGTGAGTGATTTGCTGTTTTCTCCATGTTGGCTCAGGTTATTCCTGTTTTTCTTTTTTTTTGTACTTCTCAGATGATTTACGGCTTGCACAGGGCCCTGCTATTCCTGCAGTGGAAAGTTAATAGTCTAAAAACCTGTCTTGGAAGGAAGATCCCCAATATCTGTTTCACCAGATTCAAAACATAATATTAATCATAATTCTTATGATGTTCATGTTTCTTCTAGGGTTGATTATTAGGAATAGTCAATTATTGAAATAACCATCACCTAATTTTATAATCCAATCATTACCTATACTGATGGTACAGCCATTTATTGAAAGATAATCTTCTTACAGCAGCAATTAAGACAAAACTCTACAGAAAATGCAGACATTTCCATTTAAGATTAAAAGGGTTTGGGTTTTTAATCTTAAATTAAAACTACTGTAGAAAATCTTGTAATAATATATATATTTTTATACAGTACAAATGTATCAGGACACGTCTATGTACATACAATGTGTTCGTAAATTTTTTTTATTTACAGTGCATATAAAGGTGCAATAAAAGATACAATTTTCTAAATTTCAAACATTTATTTATTTAGAAATGTTTAATCTAATCTACTAAAAGTGATTCTTTTTAGATTAATCAATTATTTTGAAAAAAAAAAAAAAATTGATAGATAAATCGATTTCTGAAAAAATTGATAGCCCTGCTTTCTTCTATTCTTTATTATATTGTCTTTCTGATTATAAAACAATCTTTATCATTAAATACCAAAACAGTATGAGGATGATATAAGACAATTAATAGTGTAGCTATCATTTAAAAAAAATAATCGATTAACTTGCTGATTCATTTTCCTTTATTTTTTAATAGAAAAAATGTTAGGAATTTAGAAATATAAGATTTAATTGTCTGTATTTCCATATTACATTTTATTGCTTTAGTTTAGTTTTTTATTTTAGATACTGTAATTATTTTTTTTATGTTGGCTGCACAATGGTGCAGTTTTATATAAAGCATTCTAAGGTCTTTCAATACATTTGGATCCTTTTTTTATTCTGTCTGCCTGGATTCATTTGGATTCAGCTGTTATTTCTAATAAAGAAAATTTAAGTTTATAAGAATTACTAAAGCTTCCAGCAGCTTAGAACCTCTGTAATTTGCTCACTGGGGTTTAATCTTGTGTCCCTTGTCATTCCTTATGTTTACCTCCAGAGTGCAGTATAAGACCTGCGTTGGTTTGTTCTTGACACAATGGTAACCCCACCACCAATAACAATAACTTCTTAATTTATTACGTATTTTTTTTCCTAATATCATAACCCACAGGCTATGCCCCTAAAGCCAATGCCCTTGTGGAAAGCCTGCGTAAGCTACCCATCCTGCATGATGAGCTTTATGCCCATCAGACCTGCCTGTATGAGTACTACCAACTACAGAACACACTGGTCCTGCCGTAAGTACCATACCATCTCAGTTATACCTCATGCTTAGCCTATGTGCTAAAAGTATAGCTGAGTTTGAAATAAAAAAAAAAGCCCAAGATGGTGTTTTAGACTTCATTTTCAGCTATATATATATTAAAGATATTTTAAAACTGTTGGTTAATATGTAAATTTTCTAAATTACCTTCATCTAATGCCAGGAAAAGTCTCAGTGAGCATCATGTGAGGTTGGTTTGTATTTTTTTTCACTAAAAGCATTTGAATCTGGTTTAAAATTTTATTTCTTTACCACGATTTCTTTTAGTAATTGACTTGATTTGAAGATTAAACGTTAACAGAAAAGCAAATAATCATCTAATGTTTTTGGATTCTTAAGTAATTAAGTTCTTCTTTCTCCCTAAATGAAGCATTTTACATGATTTGTTTGCAGCTATTGGTTTTATCTCAAATCCACTTTGACATAGATATAAAAATAAAAGCCTCATGTGAAATGGTTTTAGTCCTTCCTAATGCTCAGATTTATTTTACTGATTTTAACCCACACTTGTCACCCCAACAGAAAGCCCACGGCCCATGTTCATCTCCAGTTTCCTCGGTGCCGTAAAACTGAAAGCATGACGTGTGTTTTCAGTGTGTTTGAAAGTATCTTTATTTCTCTGGCTTCCTTGGGACCAGATGTTACGTTATGCTCGCCAGAAATAGCATGGATTTAACTAAATGTTGGCTGGAGTGTTTTTAATGCCCTGCACTTCCTATGTGCTGATGTGTGCTCAGCTTCCAGTAAGTCAGGTGCTTTAATGTGGGAAAGATAATTAGCTGGATTGACATAATCTCTGTAAAAACCACAACAAAAAATAACATGAAAATTAGAATGTTGGATATAGTTTGTATTATTAATGATAGGAATGATAGTGTACTGAGCTCCAAGCTGATTAACATGCACAGGTACATCACAATTAGTTAAACTTAGTTATACCGGCTTCATTAGAAGTACTTATTGTCAGTTGTTATAAAAAAATAAAAATATACATATATAAATAAAAAAACGTAAAAATAGAAAATATATAAATAGTCAAATTAATTAATAAATACATTTAAAAAAGAAGAAAAAAAAGAATTGCACATTGCCGGAAAGTTTAGTGGAAGGGAAAAAACGTATGTTAGAAAAAGATCCATAAGCCAAAGGCAAAATTCAACTAGTTTATGAGTCGGGATATTGAGAAAGATTGACTTTGCCAGAGTAACTCATGAGGCCATGACAAGATGTCACAGACATTAAAACCATTTTGGTTCTTGTTTCCTATAAGACATTATAACAACAATAAAATAGATAGATGCTTAGAATGTATATTTTTGTATGAAAACACTTCATATATTAAAGTGGCACCAAAGCCTATTATCCACGGGGGATTTGTGGTTACAAAAAAAGTTGTTTTTTTTTTTTTTTTTTCAATAGTAGCTCTGCTAAAGTTCTGACTTTAATTGACGTATAAAACTTGTGAAGTAAAGATCAGGGTGCTGGCCAACTCCAGACGCACAGAGAGCTGTGATTTCCGTCTGATAATAAATCTGTTAAGGGAGTTTAAGACTAAGGTGACAGTGTAGATATCTTCCAACTTTAAGAACTGGGAGCTCATCCAAAATAATCAAAATACCTACAAAGATCTAATCAAAAGGTTTTGCAAGGCTGTAATTGCTGTAAGGTTAATGAAAACAGTTAAACAAATATTTAATAACTAAATAACAATATAAATGTTTTTAGTTAAAAAAAATGTAATCTAATCGTGCCAGATGTGTGAATAATTCTGGACTAAACTGTTCAAAGTAGTACTTTTTAAATCAAATATCTGAAGACGGTACCTTTTTGCTCCAAGTCTGTTTATATTTTCAAATCTTGCTCATTTTAAACATAATCAATAAATCAAGTTAAAAACTGCAGTCTTCTCCTGACCTCATTCATATTTTGGCCCCACATTTATAGTTGTTAAACTATCAGGCCTCCTAGCAGTGGTATGCTAATGTTTAGCTTTGAATATTTTTTTTTTTGTTCTGTTGCTTTAGCCCTCAGATTATCAACAACATATCTCGCTGGGTCGGGTGTGGATGAGAGGCTAATTAGAAGAGTGGCAGTGAAGACCCCCGGTTAGATAGGTTGGGGCCCGCCTACTCTTCCCCCTGCTGTTCCTTTCAGCTCCTATCTCCTAGGGACGAGGCTGCCCATGATAATGTGGGGGTGGGAGTCAGAGTCACACCCTGGTTCTTTTAAAAAAGGGGGGATTAGGGGGGGATTTTTCAGTGATAAGGCTGTCATGCTACTTTACATGTGAGTGTTGCAGGTGGGGCTCTTTAGGTCGACTCAATTCACTTTATGATGAAGTGAGACTTTTCAGCCTCGCAAATATGTAACAAAATACACCTTTCTTCTTTAATCATTTACAAATGGCGAGTGGAGCATAAAATGTATCTTTCCCATTTTTCCTTTTTTTTAACGTTTGAAATTGTTGTACTAAAGTTGACAAGCAGGCTCTGCATTTGTAAACCATGAACTAAGAGTCCAGCCTTGATTGTCAGGCATTGTTCTGCATGCCCGCATGACAACACACCTCGATTTTTCCACCTGCAGAAATCCTTGTCTGTGTTAAACAGGTTTCGGCAGCTTTCTTAAGCAGTGGAAAGGCCCAGCTAAAAAAAAAAAAAACAACAACCCACGATTCATTGTTTTTATGAGTAACCGTTTCTTCCTCTTCAAACTAACTTCTTCTCTTAACCAGAACTTGAATGTTCAGAATTAACCAAAATGTCCTGAATGAATGCAAATGAAAATCAATCTAGTCATATTTAACTCTTTGTCCTAACAGTGAATTTATCTGCACTCCACTAACATATAAGTATATACTTTTAGTCCCATCTGAAATCTGTGCTTGCTAAATATTACATTTGAAAACTGCTTTCCTCCTAAGGCCAAGTAAGTTAAATAAGAGGATAATCTACACCATCCTGGAGTACAGTCCGCTGCTCGACTCCTCCAACATGACCACGGATGATTGGGGCCGAATTGGAAAAGACATCGAGGTACACGTCATTTAGTTCTATTGTAATCAAAAGGTTAATCTAGCAACTCAATCAAAAATGGAAACTCTTATCGTAAAACTCAAGCACACATGGAGTGATGATATATTTCATGTGTATGTTTTTTGTTGATTTAATGAACAATTGACAGCAAATAAAAAGGCCAAATTCACTTTCAGGAAAAATGAATATTGCATGAGATTAAGAGAGGTTGTCTCTACTAAAATATGCTGTCCGTGTTCTCTGCAGTACATGTACCAGTACTGGTATGGATTCTGTTCCTCTCCTTTCTCTAGATTCTGGTCCTTGTTTTCCAAATGTTATACAAGATTCGCTTTAATCGGGGAAAAAAGGACTGAGAAGTGCTCAACAAAGTGCTGTCCTGTGCCGCCGTGGCCTATAGGTTACTGTATTTTCTGGATAAGCTGCTACTTTTTCCCCCACGCTTTGAACTATGCGGATTATAGACTTGGACAACTTTTATTTTCATTTTGTATACACAGAGTGTATTCAAAATGAAATTTTGTTTTATACAGCTTTCAGATGGTAAATGAGCAGCAGCTTGGCAGTGAAATTAACATTTACCTTTCCATAAAGTGCAGCAGTGACCAAATCTAAATAGTGTAGGAAAAAAAATGCCTTGATATGGATGTTTAGAGCATTTCAAGAAAAATATATATGGTTCAAATGTGCAGTATTTTGGTGTGGTGTTGCAGAAAGAACTGCATTTCACCCACACCCCAGCCATGCTTCTGTGTTTTCGTCTGAGAGGACCTTACGATTCCTGATCAGGAGTTGGTCATGAGTTGCTGATCACCCCTCGTTACCCGCTGTACACTACATGATGCATGACCAGGCTGAAAGTCGTCCCGATTGTACCATTTTGGCCGTGCGAGATTTTTCAGTGTTTGTATGTCTTTAAACTTTATTTTTTTTCAACAATTCAGCTGTCTGATGGCAGTGGGGAAGAAGCTGTTGCAGAATCTGCTGGGCCTGCAAAGCCTCTTCCCAGAGGGCAGCAGGGAGATCAGTGGGGATGTGAGGGATCAATTCAATTCAGTTTATTTATATAGAGCCAATTAACAACACTCATCATCTCAAGGTACTTTACAGTTCACCAGATCATACAGTCAAATTGATTTAAAGTTGTCTATCTAAGGAAAACCAGTTGATTGGATCGACTCATTGACTTGAATGCAATCTCTCACACTATTGCAGATTCATGTGCAAAAAATGTTACAGATGACCCTGGAGATAAACCGATATGTCATCCGGACGATTATTTTTGGCTTATTTTAACGTATTTTTACGGTCGATTTGTGCATGCAAAGGCCAATTCACCAAGATCCAGTGGTGAGCGCTTGAATTGCCGCTCACTTTATCGGCGATTAATTGTCAATGTTTCTTTCATTTGTTAATAAATATTTATTTTTTTGTGTAAATCAACACTTGTGTTTTATTGGACATGATTGCATATATCTTTTTTTTTTTTCATTTAAATGTAGGAAGGAAAAGGAATATCGGTTCTAAGAATCGGCATGAAAATATCTGCATCACATATCAGGTTTTGGTTAAGCCAATGCCAAAATAATCATTATCAGCATCAATCTTTTAAAACCCGTATCAGTCGATCTCTAGTTGAAGCACATTTTTCGATTAATTTGTGTTTGATGACCCATTTGCTCTCTAACTCCATTCAGTTCATCTCAAAACTCTGGACTTTGGTTCAAAAACCACTGTAGGATTTGTTTATCCCCATTGCTTGTGCAAATATTTTCAGCCACACTGTTTTTCTTTACCCCAGCGTTTAATTCATAAGCTTAGATTACTGTACTTTGTGAGCAGCCAGCTTCAATGGCAATGACCACTTGTAGCAAAACCTCCTTTAAAAGAGCATCTGGACAGCTGTTTACTGATTATATAAAATGGTTTCTTCACTAAATATAGTTTTTTATTTTTTTATTTTGAAATGCTTTGAGAAACAAAGGATCTTTGTTTTCTTTAACTGTGATTCAAAATTAGGCTTTTTTTTTGTATCTAGATTAATAAGATCAAGAGAATATTGCATTTTAACATTTGTCCTCTTTATGTTTTTCATTTTACTTTACTGATCCTAGAAAAACTATGAAAACTTTGATGGGTTTGTGATCCTTCACGGCACAGACACTATGGCTTACACAGCCTCAGCTTTGTCCTTTATGTGTGAGAATTTGGGGAAACCGATTGTTCTCACCGGCTCTCAAGTAAGAATTATTCTCTACTACAGTTCAGTCGGCCACATCAAGGAAATTAACCTGCAAAGTCTAAGTTTTTACTTTCTGTATTTAGGTGCCGATTTACGAGTTGAGAAATGATGGGAGAGACAACCTGCTGGGAGCGCTGCTGATCGCGGGGCAGTTTGTTATTCCTGAGGTACATTCCTGTAGAGTGAAATTATCTGACATGACTTTGTTTAATAACCTAAAACATGTCATCTGGGGAATTGCTGGGAATCAACAGTTTAAGTTACTGGATGAGCGTCTAAATGCAGTGAATCTGGTTTGTATGATGATGATATTCCTAAAGAAACATCTTGCACCTCAGCGGGTGTGAAATCGTTAAAGGAATGCTCTCTGACAGGCAGGTGTTTTGCAATAGTTTGAAAACACTTTTAACAGCAGTTGGCAGAACAGGAAATGCTCCCGACTCTATTCATCGATGTTGCTCAGAAGTTGCACAGGAATGATGTCCGTCAGGGTCGAACATTTCAACCTTAGAGGTTTGAACTTTGTTTAATCTGAGAATTTATGGTTTGCAAATTTAAAAAAGGGAAAAAGGCTTCCAGCAAGTAATGTAAAGATACTACCTGAATCTACATAGAGAATCATGAAACATACATCATGTGCACCTAAGCCTGCATCATCCTGATTGAATATATATATTTTTTTTCTCTGTCTGTCTTTATTTGGCAGAAGTAAGCATCAATGTGCAAAATGCAAATGCATCTGTCCCCATTGTACAAATCAGATTCTGAAAAATGTTGCATGCATTTGTCTCCACAATAAAAATAAATATTAAATCAAAGGTGCCAAGTGCAAAACACAGCTCATTCCGTTTTGTACTAAACATGAACTCAAGGGCAGACGATCAAGAAGTTATCACAGCTCCACTGTACTTTTCGATTACAATAATAGTCAGAGCTCAAACGATAAAAGGATCTTGACGTCTAAATGATGTTGAGAACAGGTGCAGGCTCTCGTAAAACAGCTGCAGAGAGATGTTATTTTGTTCCTATAGAACAAGGAAAGTGGCTTTGTTCTTTGGGAATATGTGGATACCTATTAGGGGTTTTCAATAACAGTCTTACACACCTGGAGCCGGATTTATTTATTTTATTTTTTGCATAAAAAAGCTCAAACTGAAACAGATTTGGAACTGGCCACCTGTCCAGGGTGTACCCCGCTTCTCGCCCATAACCAGCTGGAGAAAATCAGTTTTCTAGTCTTGCCACAGTTTCTCCATTTTAACACATGACATTTGTTGAACTAAACCATTCCTTGCAGCCTAGACTGTTTGTTCTGCGCCCCTTTTGCTTTGGTTATCTTCCAAAGTTCATCTTGTGTTTAGATCCATCCATCTATCCCAGGACTCTGACAAGCTCTATTTTTTTAAGATTTCCCCCAGCACCTTGCTGCTTCCACCATGTTTCACACATAGGCCAAAAAGTTTTATTTTAGTCTCATCATACCTGCGCAAAGTTCCATGTCAGGAAGACTGCAGACAGAAATCTATGTGGAATTTTTCAACTTTTTTCCCATCTCTTCTATAAAGGCAGCATTTGTGGAGTTTATGACTCATTTTAATAGATCAGCAGCTAAATTTGGCATTCATCTATTACACATATCAAAGACATTTAAACAAGTAAATGAAAAATAAAAATAAAAAGCAGGATATAGAATTTACAAACTGATAATCTCCACTTTTTCAGGTCTGCTTGTATTTCTACAACAAACTCTACAGAGGAAATCGTGTGACGAAGGTGGATGCAGGGAGTTTCAATGCCTTCAATTCCCCCAACTTGGCTCCTCTAGCTACAGCTCAAGTGGATTTTAAAAGTAGGTCTTAGATCAAGTATTGTTAAAAACTGAAGAAGCATAACTTAAGTTATTTTTGTGTTTTTGTTTTAGTTAACTGGGACACTGTGTGGAGGGCAAACGCCACAGCTAAGTTTCAAGTCAAAACTGAGCTGAACAGGAATGTGGGTCTGCTCAGGTTGTTCCCAGGAATCACTGCCTCCACCGTAAGAAAATGCTATATGTCACTATTTGAATTAATTAATTAAAAGCAGCACTTTTCTATCTAAAAATAAGGGTTAGTGCTGCTCAGTCAAAAGTCCTCGGTAAAGATTTAATGTTAACTTTAATAGAATCTTCTTGCACAAGTTAAATTTATTTGTGAATTTCAAAAAATCCTTAAAAAAATAATATGGGCTTTAATATATTCAATTCAGTTTATTTATATAGCACCAAATTACAACATGTCTTCTCAAGGCACTTTACAGTTCACCAGATCATACATCAAATTGATTATAAGTTTTCTATCTAAGGCAAACCTGTTGATTGCCTCGACTCATTGACCTGAAGGCAATCCCTCACACTAAGCATGCTTGTCACGACAGTGGAGAGGAAAAACTCCCTTTTAACAGGAAGAAACCTCCAGCAGAACCAGGCTCAGTGTGAGCGGCCATCTGCTGAGGCCGACTGGGGTTCAAGGAGTTACAGTAGAAGCGGACCGACAGAGAGAGAAACAGAGATACAAAACTGGCCAAAAACACACAACCAGGTAGATGAGCTCTGAGCCAGCTCCCATGTCAGAGGATGCAGAGAGCACACCCAGCCAGTCATAGTCAGAGAAACAGGACCACATTGAAAAAAAGGCAGATCTCGAACATCTATAAACAAAGGTGTTGATGGCAGCAGTACAGCTGCTAATACATGAATATTAAAGCTGAGTTAATTTACATTGTTTAGCTTTCTGGCACTAAATCAGTTTTAAATCCTTCCCACTAAAAAAAACCCAGAGCAATCAAGGTTCAACCCCGTCGTAAACTAGAAGATACTGCCAAACTGGTTTCTCTGTCTGCAGTGAAGTGACTGGTCAACAGAAATTGACAGGTGGTTGGCAATGAAAAGCGAGGTCATAACTTTAGGAGTTGGTTCTTCTGGTCGACAGTTGGTATAAACTACCCTTCATTAACATGGAATTATATGAGTCACTACTGCAGGTAAAACCCTTTTGATTTAAATTCCCTTTAGGATGAATAAAGTATTTTGTCAAACTGCTATAAAATAGTTAGTTTTATTTAATTACATTTCCTCTGTTACTTTATATACAGTTGTAAATTTTAGTGGAGATTCTGGCCGGAGAAAAATGAAAGAAAGTTATAGCCCATGTTTAATCATGCTGTACGCTGCTGCCGCGGCTACTTCAGCATTTAGCTGAGCTTCCCCCTGCAGAACCTGCAGAGGCTCCTTTACGGTCTCATCTGCTCCCACTCCACAGCTCTGCCATCATTGCTTCCTCTCAGCCTTTAAAGGCCTTTATGAGGCAGTTTTCATTAGGCTCCACACCCTGGACCAACCATCCCCACTGTACCGAAGTGTTGGAGAGGATTCTGTCAGACATTTCTTGTCAAAAGTACTAATTATAGCCAAAAATATCGACTGAACGGCAAACTTTAAATGTCACCTTCTCCTCACACTGCTGTTTGCCAAGTGACTTTATGCTCACTAATGGCGTCAGATTAATTGCTCTCCTTTCTGCTGTTGAAGTCCTCTGCTGTTCTAGTCGTATGCCGCGGTTAATGATGTGCTATAGGGCCTCCCAGTGCCTGCCAGCCAACCGGTGATTGAGATACTGGTTTTAGAGATGGGACCAGATGGGCTTTTAGTAGAGTGAATGGTCCCTTGCATGAGAGTAAGATGCACTGCAGGAAAAATAACACGGAATACTAATTTCTCAATTTGATGCTACGCCGATTGGCCGTAAATATGCGCCGTTTTCAGCTTCAGCCTGCTCACATCTGTTTCTAGGTCAGGGCTTTCCTGCAGCCGCCCATGCAGGGTGTCGTGCTGGAGACCTACGGAAGTGGGAACGCTCCCGATAACCGTCCTGACCTTCTGGAGGAGTTGAGTAAAGCCACCAACTCTGGTGTCATCATAGTGAACTGCACACAGTGTCTGAGGGGCACTGTGTCAGCCTCCTATGCCACTGGACGGGTAGGGGGATATGTTTAGTTCTCAGGACTGCATAAAGTCCCCAAAACAAACTCCTCTGTCCCATGTCTTACCTTCCTCCTCTTTCCTTACTTTCCTCCTAACAAGTGTCCTATCCACACTACCATATGCCCTTCTTTCCTTCCTTCTTTCTTTGTTTCCTTCCTTCCATCCTACCTGGTGTCTCTTAAATACGCATTTTAATCAGTTAAATTTAAGATCTATGGAAACATTTGGAGAAATTCACATTTACTTAATATGTAGATAGAGTTTATTCAAAATATCTTAATACATGAAAAAATAGATATTTTTTAATCAAGTTGACCCAATTTTGTATCTAAGCTGTTTTGGGGATTTTAACAATATTGTTATTAGATGTGGAACATTTGATATGATATGCAATTTACTTGTTCTTCTGACTCTTTAGGTGCTGATGGAAGCAGGCCTGATAGCTGGTGGTGACATGACTCCTGAGGCCGCCTTGTCAAAACTGTCATATGTTCTGGCTAAGAAAGATCTCACAGTGGATGCTCAGAAAAAGGTCTTATTGTTTAAGAGATTTATTGATTTTCTTCTTAAAGAAAGAAAACCTTAAAGGTAAAGAATTGTTTGTCCCTTTGTCCAGATGATGTCTCAAAACCTGCGGGGAGAAATGAGTGCGGACCTTGAAGGAGCCAAACTGTGTCTGAGCGACAGCAGGTTCATCCAGGTCATTGCCAGGTCTCTGAGCGTTAGCTGCAAGGAGGTAGGCAGTCAGACGCCCACACGCATGCTTCAACCCAGTAAGAGCCAAACAGGATTTTCAGCAAACCAGTTGATAACAAGACAGTCGAGTCCCTACTTTTGTGACGTGTTGCAATTTTATCTAACCCTAGAACGATCTGTTCACTTGTAGAGGGTTTCTGATAGTTTACGCTGATGATAAACTGTTTAGTTTGCAGGAATTAAACTGGTTAGAACTCTGGTGTGGGGTCACTCATCTGTTCCAATCCACTTTCTACAATTGTTAAGGTGAAAGGATCTGGACTTTCTGAACTTTGGTCACAGTTTGTTCTTTTTCGGCCTCGTCATATTTGACTGTGATTACTACTTTAATTTGATGCTCTTAAAAATCCAGTGCCTTCGGTAATTACCTGGTGACTATAAAGAAATCCATTGATGTGATTAAACATTCTGGCCATCATTAAAATATTACGACACGACATCCTAAATCAGCTCTACAGTAAAACATGTTGGTGACAGCATCATGCTGTGGAGATGTTTTCATTCAACACACAGACAGAATAAGGTCAGAATTCATGGTAAGATGGTTGGAGGTAAAATGGGGGGATCTTTGGAAGAAGATGTGTCATAGGTGTTAAAATGAATAACACGTGAACAGAGGCTCGCCCTTCGCACAGATAACAATCTGAAATGTAAAGAACACAAACAATGTGCCATAATCTTCCCACTTTGTAATTAAAAATGTTTTTTTGTTGGTTTATTTCAGAAAATCCAAATAGTATATATTAAGGTCAGCAGTAGGTATGAGAGATATAAAATGGATAGTTTACATAAAATGTTGTGGGATTTGTTCCAAAAGGTTAAAAGTGACAAACAAAAATCCATTTCAGTTCTGCCTAGCAGTTGATTTAATTTCCCATGAACAAAAACTGCTCCAAAAAGAAAGACATAACATGAACAAAGAAAACGATTTGAATGATTTACTTCAGGTCACCAGAGACGAGCACGATAGTCGCTTTCAGACATGTTTTGAAAGATGTTAATTAGGTTTGCAGCTATGGAGTATTTTAGTTATTAATTCTTCATTTTTATTCAGTTAATCTTAAACATGGTGTTTTTACTAAATCAACATAAAAAAATAGCTTGGAATAAAAAAACCCAACAACAACTACCATGGCCCGGGTTTGATTCCCGGTCAGGGATTTTCTACAACATTTCGTTGCTTTGTACTTGTGACAGTTTAATGACAATAACGTCGAATTCTATTCTATTCTATTCTATTCTATGCTAAAATGTAAATGGGGAAAAAACTAAGTTAAAACTTTTATACATATATGTTTTCAATTGGGAAATGTTACTATTTTTTGTCTTTATAACTACTGTAAACAGTTCATTCTTTCAGAAAATGGCATATTAGAGTCCCTGAACCATTACTGAAGTTAATGTTTCATCTCAGTAACCAACTAATTTGATAATTATTTCCATTATAATCTGAATAATTACTTTAGCCTTGATATTATTTCTTCCTGCTGTCATGGAAGTAAGAGTGGAAAGATTGGAAAGTTACCAAGCATTACTTCTAATTTTGGGAGATTACTGTTGTCATTAAAGTTCAGTATTCTTTAGACAATAAAATACTTTCTTTGGTAGAAACATATTAAAATGATTTTAAAAAATTAAGAAGTTATGAGGATTATATAAGGTCATCTAAATGGCCTATTTTTTTTTTAAATGTTTTGAATGTTCTGATATCCAAAAGGAGCTGGAAGCCATCCGAGATGCCCTGACTCCTTCGCTGGCATGTGCTGCTGCAAAGAACGGGGACACAGAAGCCCTGGAAGCCCTTAAAGAAATGGTAACCAAACCTCATTACGTGACCTGCTGCCTACTGTATCAGTAAAAACAAAAATTCTTCAGCACCCTCTGGCCTTCATCATTTGCCCTAAACCAATATTTATTTAATGTTTTTTGTTGTTGTCATAAGCTTCAAACCCAGTTCAGTAATAAACTCTTGCGTCATCAGAGAATCATTTGACCCTTCTTATCTTCTAGTGTTTAGTTAGCAAGGGTCAGTGTCAAGTTAAACTCACTGACTATTGATTAGCCAAAAAGTCGAGGTTATTCTCTGTGAAATAGTGACCCGGGTTAACAGAAAAACCTCATGACACCTGAGGAGGTAAGCTAGGCTTTTATGGATAAACTGGTTTGAAATGTTTGATCAAAGCCATGATTCTGATCAAGATTTCTACACAGCTTTTATTATGAGTATACATGTATTAGTGGTCAGATAATACACCTTTAAATTCAGTATTTAAAGTTTCTACTGATGTTTTTTCTGAAAATACAGCTTAGAACTGTCCAACTGATTTGTTATATTAACAAAAAATGGATGTAAATGGAATATTTTTAAAAATCTTTTATACATTTTGATTAGTTTTAGATGTAAACGTCAGACAAACAAACCCTTTTCTACAGTTTTTGACAGGCCAACCTGCTTGCAGTGCTGATTTTCCTGTGTTTCAGGGCAGCGACTTGCGTCTGGGTGACTTTGATGGACGCACACCTCTGCATGTCGCTGCTTGCGAGGGTCACCTCAGACTTGTGCAATACTTGCTCAATCAGGGAGCCTCCGTCCACGCTAAAGATCGCTACGGAGACACACCCCTATGCAACGCTGTGCGCTTCAGGTAAAAGGGGGAAAAAAAAGCATAGAGTGCTGATGTGTTTGTTTTTAATCTTCCTCATTAAAGTTATGAAGTTGCAGATATTTAAAATCCCCATCTCAGCCATCAGCAACAATTGCCATTCCTCACAGACATCAAAGTGTTTTCCTGAAAACATGTTGTTAATAGCTGCTATAGAGGAGATCTCATTAAACGAGCTGCTGCCAGGCAGGGAATTTGGTTCTGCCTAAATGAGGAGAAGGGAAAAGCGGCTGTATTAGTGGGGGGGGGAATCAGAGGAGAGACTCATAATGGAGTTTAGAGGCCAACAATAATTACAAACTAATTAGGCTAATTGTCATCTGACAGCTTAGATGGTATTTATTTTTACAAACACATTCTTTTTCCTGCTAAAAATTGTTGTGAATGTTTGCCGGCGAATCGCCATGCTTCATGTTTTCATGTTGGAACGATAATGAAGCCTGGGGGGGGGCGGCAGGTATGTGTCACAGCTGTGCTGCATTGCTCTTGTCTTATTTTAACGGTTGGCACAGCAAGTGTGGACTTGTTTCCTTTGTGATGGTGGAGTGATGCATCGGGCCACAGGCACCTGTCGTTACTAAACACTTCCTGCTGCTTGTTGCACAGCTTTGGTCAGCAGAAATTCTGTAACTTAGTGGACCGAAACCTAAGCAGCCCAAAACAACTGAGGTCTTTATGTATGGATGAGGTGTTTATTTTCTCAGCAACATGTCACAAGAAGCGACTTCCATATAAGGGAAAGCTGTGAGTCGCACAGAGAGAGAAACCTTAAAGAACAAATGTGGGGAGTGCCTTTTGAACCAGTCCTACCAGCTTGTTCCCAGTTTCACCAAAGAGACATTTCAGTCTTCTTCTTTTAGAAGACTTCTTTGTCCTTCTAGGAGTTTATGTAGATCTTTCTTTACACAATCTAAAGAATAAACCAGTGTCTACTTACTATTTAACCCTGTCGTGTTTAATTGCTTCCTATTTGGAGCATGGCTCTTAGATGGAAACAGTTAGAGACATTGGCTTAACTTGCTGTGTCTTGTCACAGTGACGGTCCCTGCAGGTGACTCCTGCGTGGGCGGCTCAATGTGGGGCATAAGGAACCTGTCTTTACTTGTCTAGAGCTAGTACCGCTGCATTGACTCTTTTAAAGGTGCAATAAAATCCTTGTCAACTGAACAATATTTGCATAGAGGAAATCCAAGTAAAATATAATTTAACTGATAAATGACATCACACCAGCAAAAAGTTTTTAAAGTTCTGGTTCTTAAAAGCCTAAAATTAATGCAGCTATTTGGAGCCGACCACAAAAAAAAAGTTGCCTTTAAGTTAAAACTTTCTCTGTCTTTAAACCTATATTCCCTCCTTTTGGCTGAATATACTTCATGGATTCAAAAGGGAAGTTAAAGGCTATACCTTAAAGTATTCAGGTTTCTTCAAAGAGCTGCTATAGATGGTGCTCACTGTTGGCACGAAGCATCTTCTTTAGCACTCAGTCGTTGTGAAAAAGCCTCTGATTGCTGGATGATTGTCTGAAACTGAAAAGCTACTAAAATCAATCTAATGCTTAGGGAAAAATAGAGAAGAGGAAGCTTTAGAGTCGGATTATGTCCTTATATGCAACATTTCAGACACTGTAAAGGACATGACTATGAGATATTACAAACTGCTCTCAGGATTGAACATTAATTGAACATTTGACTTGATTGAGGTCAAAGAGGAAAATTTTTGTCAGAAAAAAAAAATATATATACATATATATATATTGCCTTGCACACAGTCAGAACAAAAAGCGTTAGCCTTTCAAAATGAGTTGATTACACTACATTTAAAGCTTATTATTCAAATATGTCATGTCTGTTAAATAGATGAAGTTATCAAATATATGAAGTTTGATCATTTTTAACTTATAAGAGCAAACAATTCTATTTAGAAGCATTATCTTAAGTACAGGAAGTAGCTAATTAAAAATTGAATTGTTTCACAGGAACTAACTTTTAAAAGATGAAATAGATGTAAAAAAAAAACTTTATTATGACAGTTATTAATAGTAAAGGTTTAAATTAGCTGATACTCTACATTTTCATCTTGTTTAGGCACAAGGAAGTGGTGAGGCTGCTGAGGAAGACCGGAGCCCACTTCACGAGGGAGCAGATGGAGGAAGCAGCATCCGAGCTGTGCAGGTCAGACGAGCAGGAAACATGTTTCCAGCCTGCATGCACGCAGGACTGCACACTTGGTCGCTAAGCTATCCGTGCTGACCGATCCTGCATAGCTGACACAGGTCCAACCAGTCACCCGACTGTTGCACAAACTGTAAGAATGTGACCTGGCTGCATAGTTCTGGACCCAATCTGCATCTCCAAAGAGCATAGCAGCGACAGGGCTCTGTTATTTATCTAAGCTCCACGGGTAAAGTCAAGACGTGTCCAGAGTTGTACAAATGAATAATCGTGTTTTATCAGTTAAGACAAAGCAAAAGCATCTCCAAATCGGTTGATTTGTTCCACTGATGTGCTAGTTCAGTTTCAGCTAACGATTTAATTAAAATGCCATGCTGTGTGTTTTGTCAGCCTGGCAGCCAGTGGTGATAAAGAGGGCCTGGATATGTGGAGAATCGCCGGGGCAGATCTGACCAAGCCAGGCTATGACGGAAAGACGGCCTTGGAAGTGGTGGGTCTGAGGGAAAATGTGTCTGCTGTGACTGCACACTCCAGTCAGCACAAACTAATGACTCCCTCTTTGTCTGTCTCAGGCTCAAGCTGCAGGTGGCAAGGAAATGGTGGAGTTTTTAACTTCATACGTTACCAGCAAATCCATGGTAAACAGTTCTTTCCATTTTCCTCTGCAGTTTAAACAGAAACCTGAAGCAACTCCACTTTGTACATTAATTGCTTGTCTTGCTCATTTCAGACCATGTTTGATGAAATAATTGAATATGATGAATATAACATTGATGATGATGAAGAGGTAAATAAGATGTAGTGAGCTTTAGTTTGTTGCTCCCTCCCTACAGCGAGCATGGCTGCCTGAGCTCCACTTTACTCTGGATGCTTTATGTCATTTATCCTGTCATTAAAAAGCTCATTATAGTGACGCCGGGTCAAATGATCCCAGCTTGGCTGCAAACACGTAGACGCCTTGATTCTCTCAGTGCTGTGAAGAAACTGACAGATGATCTGACACAGCTGAATCAAAAGTTCAAGAGAAGGAGGGAGAGTGGGAAAGAAACGGATATGGAAAAAGTACAAATAAACATGAGAAAATAAGAAGGGCTTCAGTGCTTTTCTAAAGTATTCACACCCACCCAACTTTTTAAGATAACAACCAATTTGAAGGACAATGCAAGTTCACACAGCACATGAATTCAAAGTGCTGAACATGAGAAGAAAAATAAAAGTTCACTGGAGAGACATAAGGCAACAGACATTTATATAAAAGATCACATGATTGATTAAAATATGAAATGAAAATTACACTTAAAGTGTGTAAATGAAATTTATTAGATGATTCTATGATTCACCTACAGATAGTGACTCTTGATTTTGAGGTGAAATAAGGCATCAATTTGTATCAAATCAAATTTTTTATCAAACCACCTTCTAAGTCTCCTTGGGTCTCTTTCTACCACTTTGGCTTATTAAGAGACAGAGTTTTTTTTCCTTCTTAGCTCCCACTCAGATCCTGCAGCTCCTCCAGACTTACTCTAAGCCTCCTTCTAGTTTAGGCCAATGGTGAGCTCTTCACTACAATTACAGCAACTATGAATTCCAACCTGCTTGCTTATTACATTAAGCTCAATCAACACATTTCAGAGTGTTAAGATAAATAACAAATTAATGCATTTGCAAAAGCATTATGATTTAAAAGTGCAACCTGAAAAAAACAGCAATGTCCACCAGGTTTTGGTGTTTAAAAGACAATGATTGCCTTTAAGGATGAGTCAGTTATCAAAGAAATCAATTCAGACCTTTACAATCCGAGGAGTCAGCTAATATCATTTAGCTGCAATTATGACAAGGCCTGTTGAAAACAGATGACTTATATTTTTTTTCTCGAATATCTAACCTGTAACATTAAAAAATATGTCTTTCATTTCTACTTCAAAATTTAATGAAAAACAAAACTTTTACAAAAAGAGAATCAATATTTTTTTCAATGGGATTATTTATATTTGTACAAAAAACAAACACATTTTCCTCCCACATGATGACAAAAATTGATCCAATAATATTGCTAACATAATTACCATTAACCAATAACAAAACTCTTCTTACCACTCAGGATCCAGTGTCTTAATAGTAAACATTTCAGCCTCTTCTGTTATTCGCTCATATTTCAATTAGCAGAAATAAAGATTTGTATCTTCAGAACAGAACATTGCATTAAAGCTGAGCTTAATATTACAAATCTAATCATGTTTGAGCGCTTGCTAACCAACCCTCCTAGAATCCTGCGCACCCCATTCTTTAAATGTGCTCTGTGAAAATCCTTAAACATTGCCACCTCTTTCAGTACTTGGTATTTATTTCTAATCTTTGGTTTTTTGGCAGAACGGTGGAGGGATGGAGTTTACTGCCGTACCAACAGCACTGTGAGCCGACTCTACCTCCGTTCCCCACAGCCGTCCTCCACCTCCCGTCAATCATCTGTTTAACCTCTGTTTAATACCATGCACATAACAGTTACTACATGCAGACATGTTCACGTTGCAGTATGATCTTTGAACTAATGCTGCTTTGAAAGAGAAAAAAATACTTTTAAGTGTATTTTTGCAGTATTTCATATTTGTGGAAACTGGTTACAATGCTGAATGTTCCATTCTGATGTGTTTCTGCAATGGATGAAAAATGCAGAAAAATGTCATTTGCTGTAACATTAAAAGTAAAGTACGGTAATGTAAATTGTTTCTGAAGAAAAGTATTTATAATGTTTCCGATGACACTGATTTTATTTTTGTAGGTATTTTAATAGGATGGTCAAAATGTGAGTCTTTGAACGTAATGTTTTATTATATGAATGTCGTCAGCCACAGAATCCCTCAGTTCCTCAAGGTGAAGTTTTTTTTTTCTCCTACTTCCTGCTGCTCCTCTGCTATAAAGAACAAACTACAGTTGCTCCTCAGACTCATCCAGCCTGTTTCTGTGCTAATTGTCGAACTGGAAGCGTCACATATCTCACACTGAACCGGAAAGGGGAAGTCCAGATTGTCGTGTGTGGCAAACCAGGAGGAAAACCAGTTTTTTTAAACTCTTTTTTTTTTTTTTTTTTTTACTGTTGTCTTATATCTTTGGCATTAAAAAATGACTGATTACTTAATCTTTGACTTCTTTGCTGTACAACAAACCATGTAGACCTCTAGTCTTTTTTTGTTTTTTCTAACCACACCCAGTGTTCCCAGATATTTTAATGGCCTGATTTGTGTTCTTTCAGCTTGCTGTTTTCTAAACACACATGTTTTAATTTTTTAAGGAATTCACTGAATTATGTATTTTGTGGAAAGAGTAGAAATAAAGTTTTTGTTTTAAAGAAACGCCTAGTGTGCCTCCTGATGCTTTTACACAGACTGATAAAACTACTCTTGTTGCTATTATATATTCCCTTCCCTTAAAGTTGTTTAAGTTTTTTTCTGTGCTGCATAATGCAGGCAGTACGTTTTACTCTCTATTCTATCTTATATTGGAAATGCAGTTTATCCTACTGCAAAAAGTTTAAATGATATAGCCGGATCAAAGCTTATTTGTAAGAATAGATCTCAGTGCTGCGTTTCACACTCATTCATCACATACCAATAAATACAGACTAAAGAAATTGAGGATTATGCCAAAGCAGCTCGGATGTATTTTTTTTTAAAGACGGGTTGCTTTGTGGCATTTGGAAATATTAAATCTGAGTGGATAAAACTAAATGGTGTTCCTCAAGAGTATGTTCTTGGGTCACTGTTATTTAATATGTATTCTATAAACTCTCTCAACTTCAAATTTTAGATTATACCATTGCCTCTCACCAATTAAATTCATAAATGTATATATTTACTAGTGTGGCATTAGAAGTTAAATGAAACAAGTCACCAAGTCTTTTAGTTATTTTACATCAGTGAATATTTATGCTTTTAATTTTTTTGCAGCAGCTTTGTTCTTTTTGGTTTTAGAGCTGTTTTTTAAAACTCCTCGGTTTCATTCTGCTGTAATGTTGGGTTACTCATGATGCCATTCTCAGATCAATTTTATTCAATATGCTGTTAAACTATTTGCAGAAAAGATTCCAGCTTCTTGATCCAGAAAAAGGAAACTGTAAAATTTTAGATCAGCATTTGGACTCACACTATCCTTTTGTGTTATCGTGGACTCTAAACGATCATGTTAAGTTTTTACTCGTTTTCTGTGAAGATGCAGCTCATCCAGGATTGCTGCTGCATGAATCCTGGCTGAAATCAAGAGAAAATATTGCACTGCAGCAAACATTGAATCACTGCACTGGCTTACTGTTAGTAAAAAGAAAAAAAAATCAAGCTTATACCTGGTTTATATACTGTAACTAAGCGACTTTGGGCCAAATATATCTCAGATGCTTCTCAGGTATGACCCATCAAGACCCCACAGGATTCCACCTTCGTCAGTGTTTCCTGCTATACCAGAGCTGAGTACATGGGAGGTAGCATTTAGTTTCATCCTTCCATTATATTTTTTCCATCCAATTTAGTGCGGCAAGCATGTTTTCAGTTCCCTGTATATACTGAATAACAGAGCATCTAATAAACTTAAATACTGAAGAATCTGTTCAGAAAACCTGAAGTTTGTAGAAACGAATGGATTCTTTTAGGCTGGAAAGGGAAACCTTAGTTTACTGCAGGCTTCTCATAAAAGTTACAGATTACTTCATCAGTTCATTTTCATCTGGTCTTATCAGTGGAACTGAGATTTGCATTTTAATATTTATTTTATGTGATATTAAAATTTTACAGTCATTTGTTTATTGGTTGTTTTAAATGTCATGTTCCTTTATCTTTATTTCAGGGAGATAAAAAGATTGACAGGATTTATTTTCCTGTAAATCCCTTTAAATTGTCTTACATATGAATGGTGCTTTAGATATAACTTGCCTTGCCTTTCCTACTTCCAGTTCTATCAATTTAAACCAATAATTTTACATCTTTTCAACCATCAAAATTAAGAAACATCTTTCAGCTTGGTTTCTCTGTATTCTTGCCAAATTTATAAAGGATAATCATGATTGCAGCAGGTCTTGAAAAGACTTGCTGCATCTTCTTCTAACATAAAGCGCAGTGAACAGCAGGCTATTACTGACTATTAATGTAATTCTTTTACATCAGAAATCACACAAACTCGCAAGGCAGCTACGACATAAAATGTGCATCTGTTCATGTGACTCCCTGGTATCTTTTTTGTCTTTTCAGGGTGGCTGCCCGGTCCTGCTCCTTACCGGTGGAACCTGGCTCATCTGGTCGGACCAGCATGGGCTTCATTCTTTCTTGAATGAGACTCTTGTAGAAGCCAAGCCCAAAAAACACTATATAAGCACGTCTTACAACTCCAGTCACTCAGTCTAGGCAGGGATAAAACCAAGGAGCACTACTGCTGTCAAGGGAAAGGGACAGCTTCTACAGGTAAATACTCTTTGATCCAGAAGTGTTTGTCTTGGGCCTCTGTTCTACTTTTTTTTTGACTGATTTACTCTGCAGCAGGTTTTAACTTTAGAAATCTGCAGCAAAACTGATATTATTATTCTTTTAACAAAGCTGTTTCCTTTTTTTCTCACGCTAGTGGGATCCAAAGATGGAAGAACAGGAATAAAGAAAAAAGGAAAGTCATTCTGATCAAGTGGTTCTCAACAGTTCAACAGTTCTTGAGAAAATTGTGAAATGTTTAGGACCACTTGAGCAGTCGGACAAATGCTGCCAACGATTCTCTCTAACATAACAAGAGGCCTGACTCTGGACCATGTTGGAAACGGCTGCATCGTTGTTACCAATTTATTTTTCTTTATGCCAAGCTAAGGTTTCTCTGTCATTTTTTACCCGACTGTCACAGCAGCACCTGCAGTTCTGGAGCTGAGGGGGACAGTAAAAATGATCATGGCTCGGTGATTTTATTCTGCTGGCACATAAGCAACATTTTAACGGCTCTGTTGCTGCATAGAGCTCATTTTTTTCCACTGCTTTTCTGTTCCCACTTTCCAGAGGTACTGATTAAAACAAGTCAATAAAGAACCATTTGTCTCTGATGAGTCTGTGGGGGGTGATAGACCCTGGGTCTGCTGGGAGAGTCACTGTCCAGAGCTCTGGAAATTGTTTTTGTGCTAAAATGGCAAATTCACTCACTTGATGGAAAGATGTCTTCTTTTTTTGTGATGTGAAGCTATTTGATATTTAAGAAAAGTGCTTTTAATGTATCAGCAAAGTTTTGATTGAACTACCTAGTAAATTATTAAAGGTTAAATTTGAAACAGAAATATTTGCTTTCAGGTGCATTAAAAAAAATGACACAAAAAATCCAATCTCATATTTTCTGAGCAGTCACCCCCCCCTTAAAGTGCATCAATCATTTATGAAAACGCTGTGCACCACTTATCCACCCCTTCACTTTTTTAGACCCCCCTCTTCTCTCTCTGCTTTTTTTTTATTTTGATCTCCTCCATATGCACCAAGAAATATCAATATTTGCTAAACGTTTCCCTCAAAGCCTGACCGCGCACCGGGGGAGCCGCGCAGGAGAGGGGAAGACACGCAGAGAGGCATTAATGAGAAGCCCTGAGCGCTTTAAGCGTCCATGCGCAGGGACATGGGCAGCAGATGTAGAGGCGCAGGCAGTCCCAGGGGGGCATCCCAAGGGGGGAGTCACTGAATTTCATCAGCAGAAAGTGGGATCTGGACCTCCTGGAGAGAAGGAGGAGAAGAGGGGTCCAATAAATGATTTTAATGGTATACAATCATTATCCCAGTGACAGCTGAAATCATCCAAACTTTACCTCTCTGCATTTCTTACCTCTCAGGACTCTCTTGTTGCATAAACACTGACCAGTTTCTTGGTTAGGAAAGATCAGAAAATGTCCAAACTCTTTGTCCTCCTGTGAAGTTTTTACATTTCTTGAATTAATAATCATCCATTACACAGAAAAGGAGCGTAGTCGTCATCCCCTCACGTTGCGTCCAGTTCAGCGCTCAGATCAAGCAACTCACGCTGTAAACTATGGCGTTACATTTATGTCATAACCAACGCGAGCAAAACAGCTGCGCCCGTACAAGATGTATTACGGTACAAGAGGGTACTACCAAATGGAAAAACAAACATGGTAGCCATCGAATGAATAAAAAAAACACTTTAATGGAATTACAAAATCTATGTCTACACACACACACACACACACACACATATATATATATATATTGTACTAAATTAGACTTAGACAACTGCCATTGTGTGTCATTTTGACAAGGTCTTGTGTATGTATATATATATATATATATATATATATATATATATATATATATATATATATATAATATATATATATATATATATATATATATATATATATATATATATATATATATATATATATATATATATATATATATATATATATATATATATATATACTGTGTGGCAGCCCACTGCTCCCCAAGGGGATAGGTTGAATTTAATTAATTGCAGTATTTTATGAGTGCCCCCTGGTGACTAAATATTTAACAGCAGTTCATAGTTGGAGCTAGAGATTGGGTTTGGGCAAAGACCTTCCAACATAAGCAACTTGGAGCTCATCACCAAGAATGAGTGACGATGCCATTGGAGACATACCGGAATCCTTTCAGTTATTTATAAATGGTTCAGTTGCTCTATCGCCAATAATCATTTTTTTTCCATTGATCACGAAAGGCACAACTGGTATTTTATGCACCAGTGGTGTTCTAGAAGGATGTCTTTCCATTAGTGCTGTGATTTAAATGTCACCCCATAACCTAAAAACATTAAGGCTGCTTTACATAGAAGAAATCAGATGTATTAGACAATTCAGTAAGCATCTCCTTAGTCACTGACAAATATATTTAATACTGTACGTGTGATTTTTTGGCCGCTGACAAGTTGCTGCTTAGAGTGTTTACTCTGGTTCCTATGAATAAAATTGTTATAAAATTTTTATCTGATTCTTAATCCATAAAGAACTGTTCCATTACAAACTAAAATATGTTTATTTTTGTTTAATTTAATGTTAAATGATCATATATTATAGGATGGTAAATAAAGTAGGTTATGTGAAATGAAAGCAAAAATGTACATTGCAGTTTGAAAATGAAAATTAGTAAATTGGACCAAAATCAAATAATGACATGCCAACGATTATGGTTTTACCCTCTGCACATTATTGTTGCACTCTGTGCAGCCTATTCTTGTAATCACCTTTTATGCTTTGCCCTCATTATGCAGGGTACTGAGATGGCCTGTTGGTCAACTGTAGACAAGTAATCCTTCAGCCATAAGATGTATTTTTTTCCCCCTTTATTAAAAACCTTTTTTTAATTGTTCTGCTTTAACATTCGGACAAGAAAGAAGTTGGATTTTTTTATATTCCAAGATATTTAATCAAAATGAACAAAAAGCTTGATATGAATATGCCATGAATCTAACCTTAAACAGAACTTTTTTCTGTCATTGGTTTGAATTACAGAAAGAGAAACCATAGTAATAATTTATTAAAAGCAATCTACAAAGTTGAAAACTAAAAACCATATAAAATAAAAATCTCAACGTTTCCTGGATACAAGAGTCTTATTTTGAAGGCTTGTTGACCAGAAAGAGAAAAAGGAGACATCACTGTGTTCCTTGTGCAATAGGAGAAAACCAGCCTGCAGGATTCTGTGTGTGGTTACAGGCAGGATTGCCACTGTGTTTTACATCTTCGTGAGGGGGATGATAGAGCAGGTCATCACAGCCTGACGGGGGGGGGGAGCTTATAGCAGAGAGAGAGGGGGGAGGCTCAGTGAGAGAGGGAGAGTTGGGTGATGAGATGGAGAGAGGCAGGAGATCAGTGCGCAGCAGAAGCACAAGGTGATCCTTGTTCGCTCTTGGACCTGCTGCAGCATCAGTCACACATCAGGCATGAACAGCCTGAGGATCGCTTAAAAAAGTAGATAAACACAGTGGATACAAATCCGGTGGATTGTACTTCCCTCTCTCTCGGACCCACCACTGGAAACCCGGGGGTTCTTTTTTACGCACACGTGCTCAACACAATTCCCTGGATGTTGGGATTAAAACACCTATCGGATCTCTTCTGGCGAAATAAGACTAGTGAATCCCATGGATCTAAACACCAAATAGGATTAAAATCTGTTTTAGGGCAGCGCATCCATCTGGCATGGCTTTACCAAACTCACCGGGCTCTCCAGAAGCAGGGAAGCCCAGTCCCAACGTCATAGACCTCGGAACTATCTTTGTTGACTCGGACATTATATTTGGATTTACAAGTCACCTGCTAAGAAGAAAAACTAAGGTAAGGCTAACGGGGATGAATAACTGTATAGTAGGAAAACAGTTAGGATGCGGACAAATGATGCGCGTATGGAGCGCTCCTCTCTGGGACTATGATCCCTTTTCTTAACCTCAGATCAGTTTAAAATCAGTTCTTATTTTTTTTGGAGGGAATTTAAATTAATTTTAACACCTTTATCTATTTTTACTCTGAGAAATATATGGTAACAATTACTCAAATCACAGCAAAGATACAATACCAGGATAAATAAAGGAAACGGGTTATTTTAAAATACTCTAAACATGTTTATGAAATCCTGTAATAGAATAATATAATTTAAAATTCTATATTCTGTGTATATTTTAAAGCTTAAACCAAAGATGCATAAATTATCCCTTTTAACTCCACAACAAATAGACAACATGTATTTTATATTTTCTGTGTTTACTTCTGGGTTTATCTGACCATATAATCTGTAATATAAAATGACAAGTACAAGACTAAAGGTAAAGCCATTTAAGGGTTGGTCACTGTGGCTTACATCACCCGCATGAAAAATTCAAAGTTTACTAATTAAATATTAAACCCACAGTGCGCCCTCTCGAACAGTCAGAGACACGCTGTTTCGTTATTAATCCACACGATGGCGCCAGAGTCCCATTAAAGACGCTCACAGACGCGCTGGTTCACGCTATTAAACTCCTTTTTTGTTGGAGAAACGCAAAAGCATTTCAAATATATATATTTTTTCATAATAGAAGATTAAAATAAATAAATCATTCACTTTTATTTTACTTCCATTAGATCCTTATTTTGGCATAATTTGATAAATGTACCCTTTTTTTTCTTGTGTTTTCTCATGTAGTCTAAAGATTTTGTAACCTTCTAACAAGTGGTCGTAATATGCATTTAAATAATCAAACTATTGTGAGAAGTTTCAATCTTCGTTCAAATACAGAGATTTTACCGCTGGAGAGAAAGTTTATTCAGCCCTCCCATTTTAGCAGGATATACCGCCTCCCCATTGATGTGCCAAAACTCCTGCGCAGCCTGCAAACTTCAGGACACGCTCACTTGTTACCTTCGCTCTGCAGCTCCTGTCTATAAGCATCCAATGTGACAGTCTATCCTCCAGAGAAGCCCATGGCTTTACCTCGACTTTTGCATTTTGATTTTGACCAAAGATTCTCCTGAAGTTGAAAACCTGGAATGTAGGAGAATGGAAACGTTAGAGGGCATCCTGGCTTCTGATGCAGAGGAATCCCAAAGCCGCATGTTTGCTGTAAGTTTTTCACAATCGAGGTGAAAAGTTTATATTTTATTAACATTTATCCCTCGTTTCTCCGTTGCGCGCAGCAAGCAGGCGCTCTTCCTGTCCACTTTGCCAGGGTCACCCGTGCGCACCTGACTTATAAAATAAATATTTGATAAATTAGAAAAAAACTTTTTATCTTTTGCTACAGGTGGAGGGTTGTCCCAGTGGAGAGTCCGCGGTGAGCCCCAGGAAAAGGCTTCACTCAGCAGAAGAAGCGCGATGCAGCAGCCGACCTCCACCCGAGGGCGCCGGGTCAGTTTCCATCCCGGAGTCAGAGGAGAAAGGAGGCTTTTGCCAGCAGTGCCAAAAGAAGGTGTCCGAACTGAAGAAGCAGGCGAAAGCTCTGGTTGACCAAAACTCCTTCAAGGTTAGTTTATACCCCCCAGTATGATCTCAACCCCTATTGTTTTAATTTTGCCATCACATCAGAATGGTTACATTGAGATGAGAATCCAATGACAGCCCAATAGTGCGTCCAGATGGGTTCACTAAATATGATAAAGTCATTTTGGTATGTTAAATATTGCACCACAATTAAAATTATGTGCACAACTGGGATACTGGGCAATACGGGCCGTATTGGTAGGAAATGGGCTTAAAATTGTTCCATCATGGGATGGTTCACAGGTTATACAATGGTCTCAGATGAAGTGTTTGTAACATTTAA